ACCCCAGGCTAAAGGGAAGGGTTTCCAGAACCCCCGCCTGCCTGGGCCGCAGTCATGAGTGAACAGACCTGGGGTGATGAAGATCCCAGCCTCTGCTCTCCTGCCAAGGTCATCCATGAGAAAGCCGGAGACCTGGGGTCCTTGCAGGCCAGCCTGGTAGGACAGACAGGGTGGGGAAGGGCAGAGAGCAGCCGGCGAAGGAGGGCAAGTGGAGGACAGGGGAGCAGAAAGTAAAGCCAAAGCCATAGGGCAGGGGCTGGAAAATGGTGAGGCAGGGACATGAGTAGATGTCCAGAGCAAGCAAGACCCCAAAGGGCTTCAGTCCTCCTGGGCTCCATCTGCCCTAGACCAAGGTCACATATGCCAACCCTTACGGCCAGGCAGCCTCAAGCTCACTGAGAGTAGGTTTGTTTTGTTTTTGTTTGTTTTGCTACTTCCACTACCCAGAATACAGTGTGATTAATTTCTTGGAAGTTAGATGGTTCTGCCCAAGGGGTCAGAAAGGAATCCTTTCTCCAAGCTCCTGCTCGACAAACCTAGGCAGGTGCTTCTGGGTTCATATGGGGGGCGAGACACCCAAGGTGGGAGCGGCCCTGTCAGCCGAATGCCTTGGGACTCACGGATAAGATACCCTTCAACAAAACTGCTCCCGTAGGCAAGAGACTGCTGAGAATGTCTGGCTTTTATCTCTCCTTTCTTATCAGAAAAATTCGATAGGTACAGAGAGCACAATTCTATCTTATAGTTTCTCTACTGGCAGTTGCTCTTCAGCTTAACGTGGCCTTGGAGGCATAGACTTGAAAGCAGCTTGTTTTCAACCAAGAAACAGAGCTGCTGCTCCATTGGCCTCTACTGTATCTTATTTGTACAGTCTGGAAACATGCAAGGACAGAGCATGCATTACAAAGATTTCCGAGCCTCTAAAACTATTCGCAGATTCCAGTATTTAACTGTCCAGGGACCATAACACGGAAAGATAGAGACTCACCCCATGGCAGATATCCAACACCTACATTAATTTCCCCAGTTCATTCAGCAAATGTCCCTTGAGTGTCTACGTGCCCGACGCTGCAGAGGTTTCTGCGCCCGGCAAAGCATGTGGGCCTCTTTAGTCAGGAGGGAGAAGCTGAGGAAATGCTCCTTCAACAGACGGTGAGCTGAAATCTTGCAACTTTGACCGTCTAAAAAAGCTGCCACGACATTTAAAAGGAAAGAATTCTTAATTTTCTTATACAGGCAACTCTCAATTATTCTGTGGCGAGAAAAACAACGTATGGATTATGCAGGCCTCTTGTTTTTTATGTTTTCCTGCATCGCCCAACTTGTTATTACTTGTTATTATGAAGCCTACATAGTCTTGGGCTTGAAATAATTGAAAAGGAAATAATGAGACTCAGCAAATAAGTGTTTGGTGACTTTCACCAAGCAGGAGAAAATTCCCACCCCCACCCCCCAGGTCATAGTCACTCTAAAAAGACGTCCTGTCTTCCAATAAAAGACTCAGCAACATACCCAGTCAAGTCGTGCCTCCTGCTGCCACCACACTGGGGGGCCAGGAGTGGGGGCACCTGGAGGGGAGTAAACCTCCTTAAGTCCAGAGTGTTAAGTCCAGAGTGGCAGGGATCTGGCAGGAGCAAGTTAAGCAAAGTAGGGACAAGAGGTAGACAGGGATGGCTGTTAAGTTCTGAACTTAAGTCTGAACCGGGGACCACCAGCAGAGATTTGGGAATTTTGCGGGTAAAATATGGGTTCTGATATGAAGCTGTGGCTGCCAGGACTACTTACTTTCTCTCCCAGGTGGCTGAACTCTTAGGTGCAGCTCCTGGCCTTCCTTCCCCACGTGACACCCTCCCTGAGTCCCTGGGGCACTTAGCACTGCCCGCAGTCATCCCCAGCTCTGCCCGTGTCTTAGTCTTCCCAGCCAGGCCCCCAGTTCTTGAAGGCAGGGCCTCCTTTGCAGGATTCTTACAGCTTCCCAGGACCCATCAAGATGTTGCTTCTAATAGAAATTATTATTCCAAGCTTGTCACTATCTTTGTTCCCGAGGGCAGGAATTAGAGGCAGAGCAAGTGGCCATTATGAGAGGATGATCCTGGGATTCCAGAGCCCCAGGCGGCCCAGAGGCCTCCCCACTCCTCGAATAGTAACAGCCATTCATTAGAAAGCCCTAGGAGCTTGGGCTGGAGAAAGGAGGATGCTTTGTTGTTGACCTTGCTACTTGTCTAAGTGCCAAAGGAATGTCCCCGGGGCATGCATGATACGTTTATGAAGTTGTGTGCTGGAAGGAAGGGGTGGGCCAGTCCTCGGCATGGGCGTGAGCTCTGGAACTGAGCTGGGTCCAGAGGGGGAGCCTCTGAGAGGGCCGGGGGTCGGTGACTAGACGGAGGACACTGTGTGCCTGGAGGGCCCAGTAGGGAGAGAACAGGAAACACCAGAGGAGGGGTGGAGGCCAACCTGGCCTATTCGCTTCCAACGGCTAGAGGTGAAGTCTATGGAAATCAACTCCACAGCAAATGTTTAAAAAGAAACGTGGCTCATGAAGTTGAAAAGTCGGCTAATTCTTTATATGGGAACATAATAAATACGTTATTTTCAACATATGAATTAGAAATGTAAGTAATAGATTTTAAAGCTGAAAGCTTAAAGACCTAATCGAACACTTTTAAAGATACAGAAATCCAAGATTCCAAGGTATTAGGGTCCCGGCCAGTGTTACGAAAGAGGTGACAGGGTAGCCAAGAAGCCAGGTGTCCACCCCGTCGCTCTCCATGCTCGGGGCACTCGATCAGCAGAAAGAATTTCAACTAAGAACAAAAAAGGTTAAGTAAAGGGTTTTTTTCACCAAAAGTTAAGTAGCTAAGTAGTGAGTCAACAGAAACATTTATTTGGAAAATATTTACATTGCTCATTGACTTAAAGTAAGAGAAGCCTCAAGTCCTAGTTAAATATTTCCACCCTTATCTACTTGGGTACCAAGAAGCCCAGAGTGTTTTGCAATGATTATTTTTTTATTGATTGCCCGAAGGCTAACCCTGAGTTCCAAAGCTGGATAACTCTGGTTACTTTTCTTTAGAGAACTTTAATTCTGACTTTTGTTGTTGTTGAACTACAGTATAGTAAAAATAGCAATAATAATTAATTAGTTTAAAGTAATTCAAAGTTTTCTCCTAAAATTGTTGACTTAAATAAATTGGTTTTAACTTTTTTTTAATTTCAAAGTTAAATGCTGTTAAATAAATATAATATAGTATTAGACACTATTTCATCTTTGTTGAAGACACAAGGTTTATTTTGCCATGAGTTGCTCACCACTTTGGACAGTTGAGTCACAAACAACGATGCCAGTCCTGGGGTTCGACTCACCAGCACACCCTGCATCTGTGGCTGTCACATTCTTAATAGAGGTATACAATCTTTCTTTCTTATTGAATTTTTATTAATTGATTGATTTTAGAGAGAGAGGAAGGGAGAGAGGAGGGGGGAAAGAGAGAGAGAGAAAGTGATCTGTTGCTCTGCTTATTTCTGCATTCATTGGTTGATTCTTGTATGTTCCCTGACAGGGAATCAAACCCGTAACCCTGGCGTATCAGGACAATGCTCTCACCAACTGAGCAACCTGGCCAGGGCCTCTTTTTTCTTTGGACACAGATTCTCCCCCAACAGTATTTGAGTGATGAAGATTAATTAAATCCTTAAATTAGAGGTGAGAAATTATATTCTTCCCTGACACCTCAAGTTTGATTTAGTGCATTGATTAAACTAATTTGCTTTTGTTTTCTGGTGTCTGAATTAGTTTATACGAGATTAAAGCAGCACAAGATCTCCACTACCTCAGTCTCCCGATTTCCAGCTCGATTCTGAACGATGGATGCTGTGCGCCCCAGTCCACAAAGCACCATGCGGAGCCCGGGGAGAGTCAAGGGACTGAATGCGTTGCAGCTCCAGCCTTCAGGCGTGTCTGCCTTACCAAGGCCCCCTCCACCTGCCACGCAGACCTGCAGCGGCTAAGGTGCAGGTTCAGCATCAAAAATCCAAAAGTCAATCCTCACTCCACCACTCCTTGTTGGTACCCCCACCACCGCCAGCTCACCTACCTGTCTTGTAAAATGGGCTATCCCGGGGATCGCTGAGAGATGTACCCCAAAACACCCAGTCCCTTCTAAGTCACCCAGCAGCTCAAAACATGAGTGGCATTATTATTTTTATTTTAATGATAAGTAAAGTTGTGTGTTTTTTACAAGTCCTCACAATCATCATCTGGTTCAAATCTTCCATCTCCTACAGATTCCTATTGAAATTTAAATAAATCACATATTATACTTAGAAAGCTGGAAAAGTGTCCATTGAAAAGGCAGCAATGTTGTATCACTTTGATCTGCTGGAATAAATTTTATTTAGAAAGGCAACATTTTTTTTTACTGTTGAGTGAAGTGCGCTGGGGCCAGAGCACCCTGGAGTTTGGGAAGCTCCCTTGGGCCAGATTACACCTTAGCAATTCCGCTCAGAGCTGGCCTTCCCCTGGCCCATAAACCGGGGATGGTGACAGCTTTGCATGTGTGTTCATTTTCTAAAGGAAACTTGAGATAAATCCAGGGGGAATAGCCCCCTGCCTCACTGGGCTGATTGTGGAAAGCAGCTTCAATTCTCTCCTTTTTCCAAAGATTAACTTTGAAAACCTTCAAATTAGGTAAAGTATCTAGCTCTTTTTCCCTTTCTTACTCCCTTCCTTTTTTCTTTAAGATAACTCTATCAAACTACTTTCTTATCTGACATTTTCTCCACCCACAACTTCTCTTTGTTGTGTAAATAGTTAATACTGTGGTTTTGTTTACAAATCAACACAAATTAAAAAGTACACTGAGAAGACTTCCTCCTGCCCAACCCCTTCCAGCCCACATCCCCCACCTGGACAACCCTTTGTATTGGCTTCTTGTGTATCCTTCCAATGATTTTTTTTTTTTTAATTTTAGAGGATATTTATTAAAGCTGGAGACAGTGAAACAAGGAAGGGCTGGGGAAATGAGCCTAGGCTGGGCTGCTTTGGCTCACTAAGTCAGAGAAAAGGGGACCTTGGGAACAGGTTCAGGGGGTTTGCCAGAGTTGAACTGCCACGGCCCATTGCTACCCTGGATGCAAGCCTCACGGGGTCCCTTCGAGTTTAGGAGATGTGTGCCTGTGGGGAGAGAAGGGGGTGTGGGGAAGGCATGGGCCTACTCCTGGGAGAGTGTTCCCTGATGATTTTTCATGCAAATAGAAACAAGTAGGAACACAGGTCATTATTTCCAACACTTTTTAACACCTGGACTAGCAGGTTCTATGAGCTCTTTGTACCCCGCTCTCTCTGTGACTGTAGGAGAGGTCGCCTTCCGTCTTGTGTTTATAGCTGCATTAATAGCCCCATGTGGCTAGACACTTGGGTCATTGCCAACCTACACGATGTCACACAGATAACCTCGTCTCCGACATCTCCTGAAGGCGTATCTGTAGGTTAAAGTCCTAGACGTGGAATTGCTGGGTCGAAAGACTGGCCTACTTTCCGGTTTCCAGACATCGCTGCTCAGTGTGTGGCCGCGGACTGGTGCTAGTCTCTGCGATGGGATCGTGTGGAAACTGGGAAGAGTTAGAAAATGATAAAGCTTCGAGCCATCCGCTGCTGCCACAAGTGACATCCAAGTCATGGTCATTTTTCTAAGGAGTTAATTTCCCTTTTTCCAGGCCCCTCAGGGCACAACCGCCCACCAGAGCACTGGCCACAGAGCCCCTCCTTGTTCTTACTGCTCCTCCTTTGAGGAGCATGCCCTTCTCAGGAGCATTTTCTCAATCCTTTGAGATTTGGTTTCCCAGAAATTGTCGTCTCCCTCTCCTTCTCTAAAATCAATAAAAACATATTTAATAAAAATAAATAAATTGCCATCATCCAAAACAGTTGTTGGCACATAATGGGGGCTCAATACACTTTGTGCAGGAGACAAGGGGGAGGGGCTATGGGATAACCCTTCTTTCCAGTACTGACACTTTACCTGAACTACAAAAGTCCAAACAGCTCTCAGCAGATCATTGTAAAAGATTTTAATCAAATATTGTATATGATTGGCAGTCCCATGTACAATTTAAACCACCCTGGAGTTGTTAGGCCCACATCTCAGGCTCTGGTCTTTTCTTCCTCACTGTGTGACCTTGGGCAAGTCACAGAACCTCACTGAGTCTGTTTCTTACATAATGTGGGTTGCTTTGGACAAGTCATCTCCTAAGACTCAGTTTACCAGTAAATGAGGTTATCCCATGGGAAGGAGATCTGACAAAACACTTCACTAAAACAGATACCCAAGTGGCCAGTAGGCATATGGAAAGGTAGGCAACTTCATTACCCATCAGGAAATGTAAATTAGAACCACTATGTGCTACTCCCCCATATCTTCCCGAATCATTGGGATAAAAAGGTAGTCAATCCTCAGTGTTGGGAGCTTGCTCTCTCTGGGTCTCCACAGCCAGGCTCTGCGTTTTCCCCCCTCTGAGGGGGGGGGCACTTCCTGCTTCTTTCCCCGAGTCTGTATCTTCCCACTTCTTAGACTCTTAGATGCTTTCCTTCAACTGACCTTGAGGTGGAATTACGTGTTTTTAAAAAAATCATTTCTTGATTAGAGAGAGAATCATCGATTTGTTGCTCCACTTACTTATGCATTCATCGGTTGGTTCTCATATGTGCTCTGACCAGCGATGGAACCCACTACCTTGCACTCGCTACCTTGGCATATGGGGACAACACTCTAACCAACTGAGCTGCCCAGCCAGGGCTCTATATGGGCTCATAAGAACTTGTAAAGTAAGTCTAGGAGTTCATAATGCCCTAGAAATCTGGTAAGTAGGTGTTGACTTCATTTGCAGTCACTAACAAAAATTCTGTAAAGCTGCTTTGCTTGTGCTATGAAATGGCCCACAATGTGTGTTTATATATGTGGCCTGAAAGTGTAGCTACTTGTGTGTATTAGCAGTGGCCTGGAAAGGATGGCATAAGAAAGTAGTTAGGGTAGAAATACCCTATATTCGTGAATGCTAGCTGGTGGGGAAAGGGGATACATATACACAACCTCTGATAATTATAAAATTAGTAAAAGTTTTGCTAATAGAAAGCAAGAAATAATTCAGTGAGAAATCATTACAAAAGGAATTTTATTAGACAAACACATCAATAGATTGAGTCTAAGGTTTTGGTTGGAAAGCCACGGGGCTTTTCCTTTTTAAAGCAGCAGAAGTCCAAGGTCACACACTTTGAGCATTACTCTATTAAAATTCATAGAAACAGAAAAGATCAGGAATGACAGCATTCCACACTAGTCCACAGACAGAGGAGCCTCCCCATTGCTCCCCAGTCCCTCTCTCTAACTGGAGCTGTGATTTTGGTACCTGAGAGAAATGGAATGTTTCCCACATTGTCCAGAAATTAGGCTACTTTGTTACAGATCCCGCCTCTGTACACTTGAACTGCCTGTTCTTGACACATGGAATGTTACTGTTGCGAAACCAAGGGATAGTTATTGAGGGAGTGTTTACCAACATGCAAAGTGAATAAAATAATAGTCTCTCGACTACAGTAACTGTATTTTTAATCTCATCTGGCACCAGCTGTCTCTTAGAAAGTAGAATGCATGGTTTGGGGATGCTTTTCTTCCTTAGAATAGAAGGAAAAGAGTCTAAGTAGTAAATACTACATAACTAAATAATAGATATTTTCAAATCTTGAGAGTCACATAAATATGAAGTCTTCGCTTAATTTGAGAGAAAGGGAGGATATTTTCTATCATTCCTGATCATAATAGAACTTGATATTTCAAGAGGACAGTAGTATCATGGGTTCCTAATTCCAAACAGTGTATTTTTACTTTATAAGAAGTCACTGGCCATTAAATGTAATTATTAGTGGCATAGGCTATCAAGAAATAGCAAGGCAGATGGTCTTCACGTGGATATCAGTGGGCCTCGATCAAGTAAAGGGCAATGAAACATACATGAGCGAGCCCGGGTTTCTGAGATATGGGCTGGCTACAAACCACATTACCTAGAAAAGGAAAGGAAGAGTGTTCCAAACAAAGCTAGCAAGAGAATTTCTCGGGAGAATTGACTTTTTAGGGCAGATAATAACAGCAGCAATTAGAACGCACGTCCATATTTTAAGCTCCTGCAGTCAAATCCATTAAGAATATGCTTTTGGATTCCATAGTAGCTCTTTATACCCAAGAAGTATTTCTTTCACAGCCCCTGACAACCTTCTGCTTGTTTACCAGGCCGCCCTGGAGAGTCTGCCTGGAACCAGAATTGCTCTCAAGTCAGAATCTTAGATGAACTCTAAAAATGCTGAATTTGTGCTTCCAAAAAGTAGGCCAATTCCTGTGTGTGCTGGAGGAGCCACCCCTCCCCCCACGCTGCTTCCCCGTGGGGAGTCTAGGAATCCTTGGGACAGACACAGTAGCCAGGACTGAAGTTTTAGAACATCAGATACTGCAAATCAAAATAGGCCGCCTTGTCGAGCACATTTCAATAAAGCTGCAGGGGAAGTAGGCCTCTCACGCGAAGACCTCACGCTCTCGGGTGAGCCATTGCTGTGCCTTGTCAGAGCTGCTCTGAGAACTGGGCAGAGCCGCACACCTGCGTGTACTTAGTAGATAAGCGTAGCTACAAAGACGCGGGATTTCCTGGCACAAACGTCTGCTCTTCTCAGAAACAAAGTATCCATTGTCTCAAGAATCGCCTGTAGAGAGGCTGTTTGCAACAAGAGGCTGTGCTCAAGTTCGAGTCCTAAAGGAAGCTCTAACCACGCAGCGTTTGATGCGTTTAAAAACCTGTCCGTTTCACAGAGGCAGTGTGTGCCCAGGGACCCAGCTCACCCAGTTTTGTTCAGTATTTGTGGGGAAATCGCTGGGCTCGGGCCAATTATCAAGTAGGAAAAGGAAACAATCAGCTACGAAAAGGGAAAGCTCCTTGCCCCATGAGGGAACTCAAATCTTTGAGGGTTTCGTCCCAGGTGTGGGCAGGTGGCGGGCGGGAGGTGGCGGCTCCCTCGCGGCCCCATCCCCGCAGCTTTGTTGGCCCAGCGCCCAACACCCAGACCCTCAAAAGTAACCCTTGCGCGGAATTAAGCCTGACGGAGAGCGACGAGCCAGGTCCCGCAGCCCGGAGATGTGAGGACACTTTTAGAGACCTGGACCGCAGGGCTTCGGAGGGTCGGCGCCCCCGGGAGGCGGGGGGGGGCGCTCTCCCCGCCCTCTGGCGGCGCCTCGGGGCGGCTGGCAGGAGAGGGGCTCTCAGACCCACGCGCACTAGGAGGGGGCGGTCCCTGGGCCTCGGGGCCTCTCGGTGGAGTGGGGACCTCACAACGACGTCACTCACTCCTGAGTCCCGGGGAAATGGGGCCCGCAAGGGCTCCGGGTTCATAGGTGAGGGGCGTAGAAAGGGGTCAGGTAGGAGGGCCCCAGGAAGGGCGCAAAGGGGACCCCGGCGGCGGC